AAAATCGGAGGACTTGGCTGAATATCCAACACCCAGGGTTTGAGACAGTTAAGCTGGCTACTAAATTTCCTCGGCAAAGTAGCCTTTCCCGACATCCTTGAAACAATGACAACGTGTTGCGCGACTGCATTTCTGATTTACACCAAACGGTGTTTATACACCGCACTTACTTCATGAAAAACCAGCAGCTGTTCTTATATGCGATAATTTATGAAAGTCTGAATAAAATATATATGAAATACGTCAAGGCAACTTTATTGGCTCAGTCTTAGTGATGCAGCTTTCTTGCTATACAATGACGCGAACCGACAAGCCGTTTCATCAACAGAAATCTAGCTTGCAGGAATAGTAGAAGTTTAATATGCAATCCATTCTTCTCCGCTTACACTGAGTTTGAGAAATTTTTTCAATTTGTATATTTTGAGCTGTTTTAGTTATAAAAAGCCGTAGCGGTTTACAGTATCACTGTTTCATATTAGTAGTATGTTACTAACATTATGAGAGAGGTTGAAAAATCGACTTTTTGCGCCAGACGGATAGAGCTGAAATTTTGGGAAATGAATAGTGACTTTTACTTATTCATTTTCTGAAAGTTTTATCTGTACACATATAATGGTTTCAAAGATAATTACTTTTATAGTTGGCGCTAAGTGAGTAGCAGTTATTCTCGTTGAACGTAGCACTTTTGAACTGGAGCAATTTTCCGAAGAGAACGGAGTGTCAAGTATAATTCTTGATGATTGAAAGCTTTTTTACAGTGTATAAGTAGGCTTCTCTTGGTTTTTTGAGTGAACTTTGAGTTAGTATAGTTCTCTTTTGTTGCTTAGTTGCACAAGAGAAATCATCCGAAATGGCAATTCTACACAGTATAAGCAAGAAATGAGAAAATATAGTTCAACTGTAGAGATCAAACATACCGTTTACATTTTCCTTTATTTTGATATTATCATTTTTCATTTTCCTTATTCGAGTACAATTGACTTTCCGACTTTCTCTTCGAGCCACGATAGTTTGATAGAACGTTAGCAATTGTTCTTCGAAAGCTTCTTCTCGTTCAAGCTGTTGACCATTGCATATTAAGTAAATTCGATGGTAATAAAAAGAAGTAAAAAGCTCAGAAAGAGACAGAGAGATTATTGACAAAAACGTACAGTTCTTAAATAATAGAAAAACGAGCAGAGCCAAACAGATGAAAGTGATTTCTACAAAAAGGAAAATCTGCCGAAAGTTTGTGTGATAGAGAGCCAATCGTTTCCATATGATAAATTATAATCTATTTATACAAGTCTTTTTGCACTCGATGTAAGTACTCAAACGCTTGCTTATGATGATGAAATTCTTCCATAACGAAATATTTTTCTATCAGTATTGTTTTATGTATCGATAGCAACGATCACCGTGTGGTCAGATTCATGGCAAGAAAATGCGTTAATCTTAAGTAGTGTCTCAAAGCATATTCCGGTCAGTCGGTCACTATTACTCTATTCTGCAACTATTTCTGTATTCTACTGTTACACAACATTTCATTTTGAAATAATTCTCTATCCTGTTATTTTATCCTGTTATATGAATAATTCCATGAAAATATAAAATTCATTTTTCTCTTAGTTTCTTATCTTTTGTATGTATCTATATATGCGTACAGAAGAAAAAAGATTAAAAAAAAAGAAAAATGACATCAAGTATTACTTGATCTTCTCACTCACTCTCTTCTCACTTGAAAGTAATACTTGATGTCATTTTTCTTTTTTTTTAATCTTTTTTCTTCTGTACGCATATATAGATACATACAAAAGATAAGAAACTAAGAGAAGAATGAATTTTACATTTTCATGGAATTATTCATATAACAGGATAGCACTCACTTTGAAATTACCCTTAATTACATCAACTTCACAACTTAAAGTACAATTAACTAGAATATACTTAACTGTGATTTTTACGTCCATCTGACGTACACAAGTTAAACTCCTCTCTGCTCACTTTCTTAAAGAAAGTGAAAAGAGAAGAAATATTATGTTTTCAGCAGAGGAAAATATGTATTTTCTGTTGCCATCGTAAATAGGTGTATGAGGATTTATATGTATAAGATTGGCCGAGTATAAATCGTGCACAATCCGGTAGAGTACAAGATTGTTGATAAGCTCTTAATTAGTTTCTTTTAAGCCCGTCAAAATGTATCAATTAGATTGAAGGTTAGGGAAGCGTTTTAAAATATATTCCAATCGGTGGGTCGTTACTTCCCTATTCCGTCCATTAAGTCGGTGTTGGTACGATATAACGTAATTTAGAACTGTTTTACCCACAACTGCCTTGTTTTGTAATTGCATAAACATATAACGTGTAGTCATTTCTTCTTTACAGACGAGGTGATAAATAGAAAAGCAATGTTTCTAGATTTTAGAATGCATCAACATCTGTAACTAAATTGGTGGTTAACGTTTAAAAATTATACTTTCTTCTGTTATATTCAACAGCTAAAAAATCTCTTTTTGACTACTATGACTTTTTTTATAATGTGTGTTCGAACTTTATCTATTCAGTAAATAGTGACATTAGTTTTATGCAGAAAATGAAATAAAGTAGAAATGAAACACCAAAATAAGATTAAATCAAAAATTTTTTTCTGTAACTCGGAAATTTGACAACATTCGTAAATCATGTAATTATTTTAAAGCAAAGAAATCTTTCAGTATTACTAGTAACTTTCTTTATGACGATAATAAAATTTAACCGAGATAACGTTAAATTTCTCTTCAAGACTCGATAAAATACTGGAATAAAGTCGTATTTACGCTCCCTCTAAGGTAATAAAGATTAATCGTAATATATTCTATATACCTGTAAAGTCCACAGATCCATCCAAATTTTACGAAATATTTTATCGAGTCATTGCTTTTAATTTTCTCATAAATTTACTTGATAGTTACTGGTTAGTGCTATACAAAGAGGACAAGACAAGGAAGTTGAATATAGAATAAATTCACCGCTTCTTTCGAACTTAGAAGAAATGAACATCTCGACAGAAGTATACAAATTTTTTCCTTTTCTTATTTTGCTCTTCAAGAAAAATAACGTAAAGCACACATAAAATCCACAAATATATTAAGCAGACGGAAAATAAGATAAAAGAAAAGAAAAGTAATCGAAGTGTATTTCATGTCTGCTGTTGAATATAGTGTAATATACCATGAAGCCTATAGCGGAGCCACCGGGCCCAAAAATTGTCGGGATCCCGTCGAGATCTTTGTACCATACAACGTAACTCGTCACGCTGATTCCGAATATGTAAAAACCTATAGGGTCGCTTCTCTACAAATATTCGGTCGAATTTTGATATGACTGATCTAGTCATAATGGTTGATAAAAGAGAGCTAAAATTGCTGAGAAATGGAGCTTTTCTTCCTTATTTGCACGAACATACATTATTCATTAATTAGGCATACATCTTGTATGTAAAATATATCTAAATTACACTATCTCATAACTTCTGCTTTTATCAATTTGACTTCTTTAATTTCTCATATAAAAAATTCTAGTCATTATTCTGGCTACAAGCATTAAAAATTGCAATTTTGTTGATCTTTTTGTTCGAAAGTTAAACTAGCTTGTCATTCTGACGAATTGTGTCAGGTGGGATGAAAAGAAGAAATGGGTATTATCTAATTAATTTGTTTCACTTGAAACTGACAGAGTGTCGCCTAAACTCATATTGTTTAGTAAAGAATGTTTACTACCTTTTGGAAAGCTAAAGATGGATGAGTTTCCAGGATAACAAAAACTTTTCTTTTCTTGGTTTGTCCCATAACCTATCGACGTGTGCATAAAGGAGACGAAAAATGATAATATCAAAATAAAGGAAAATGTAAGCGGTATGTTTGATCTCTACAGTTGAACTATATTTTCTCGACTATATTTTTTCATCATCACTATATTTTCTATTCTTGCTTATACTGTGTAGAATTGCCATTTCGGGTGATTTCTCTTGTGCAACTAAGCAACAAAAGAGAACTATACTAACTCAAAGTTCACTCAAAAAACCAAGAGAAGCCTACTTATACACTGTAAAAACGCTTTCAATCATCAAGAATTATACTTGACACTCCGTTCTCTTCGGAAAATTGCTCCAGTTCAAAAGTGCTACGTTCAACGAGAATAACTGCTACTCACTTAGCGCCAACTATAAAAGTAATTATCTTTGAAACCATTATATGTGTACAGATAAAACTTTCAGAAAATGAATAAGTAAAAGTCACTATTCATTTCCCAAAATTTCAGCTCGATCCGTCTGGCGCAAAAAGCCGATTTTTTTCAACCTCTCTCATAATGAATATAAAGCATAGTGATACTGATCATAAAGTAATGGCGCAATCTCAATTCGTGTGCATCATAGTCACAGGTCGTCAAAGTCTACTTCCACAATTTTGAGCAATAGTGAGATTTTGACAATAGTAAAAAAGTAGTAAAAAGAAAGAAAAACAAAACGGAAGAAAAATAAAAAGGAAGACAAGTAAAAGAAAGAAAATAACAAAACTGGAATATTCTATGGGTACATCAAGTGTCTGTATGTGTTGCAGCCTACTGATAATTAATACATTAGCGAATAACTGTACTAGCCTGCGGAAAGGGAAACTACCAATATAAGGTACTGTAGTATGTCTATAGTCTCCTAATTTATTACTAAAAATGTCAACGGAGATAGAAAGTACAAGTAACGGTAAGTTCATCATCTTCGAAATCATTTAAAGATCTAAACAAATTCATTTTGGGTAGATCTGCCTTCATCAACAGAAGACAGTCCTTCATTACAAAGTGTTAGCACTTACAATAATGAAATCGCTTCGTCTTCCACTGTGAATAAGCAGTCAAGGAGCAATACACCAAAACAGCCATTTTATTTTTTAAAACAAAAATTGACAAAAAATAAACTCATTGTCTTTGGCTTTTGTTTAATTCTTGCTCTATGCGTCACAATAATAGGACTAATAGCGAAAAATCCAATGATAAAGGAGGAAACGAGCCCAAGAAAGCCAATCAGTCAACAACAAAGTAGTTCTGTGGCACCACAAACGACAGAGTTAGAGCTAGGATGTGGAACAAAACAATATAATAATCAGGGCAAATGTGTTGACAAGTTTACTTACAGAAATGCATGTGGTCAGAATGAGCAATGTCGAACAGATTTACAATTGACATGTGAACAAAGTGAGGAGCGTCAGTATGGAAGGCTAGAACATGCAAAAATATAGATTTATAAGCCCATTCTCGTTTGATAAAGCCCACAAGCTTATAAAAAATAGAAATTTTTAAATGCGCTTATAGCCTTTGCATCGAAGAAACCATGGAACGATTATGCAACTTCCTGTAAATTAGGGGCAAACTCCATATTTTGATCAGAATTCTTTTCTGTTCCGGTGTTTTTCAGCAATGTCCAAGCACGAAAGTAGATAAAAATTAGGCAACTTCATCGTTCTTAAAAGATTAAAAACTTGGTTAGAAAAAGTTTCACACTTAGCTTGTAATAAAATGGGTATTTTCGCTGGTTTGGAATTAAAAGTATTTGGAAAACAGTGTTCTTTTTAGGTATTTTACGTTTTAACTTCAGAACAACCATGTGTTTATATGATTTAACATCCGTGTAACTAAGAATAGCTCATGTCTTTTAAACAATATCTCTCTTACCTCTTGAAGATATTCACAATTTAATGAAAATAAATCTAATTAAGGTAAAAGTTTGAATTTCTGGATTTTTCTGAATCCTAAATCGAATATGGTTATAAAAAGCGAATACTAGCTTTTACAATCTCTACACAAAGCGTCCTAATTTTGAGTTATCGAATGGGAGTAATATCACAGAAATCTATATTTTTAAAGATTCTAGTGATTTGCTTATACCTTATCTTTATCTTTCTTTTAAACTTGTTTTTTTATTGAGACGTTTGTAATTGTGGTACCGATTATTATTGGAACGAAAACAGCTGTTCCGTTCGTCGGACCTTAAACCAGCCGTGTTTGAGTTCTCAAATGTGCGCCCAAAATATGACCTGTTATAACAAACATTGCACGTGTGATTTGGCTATATCTTACCTGGATATATTCTCAGATAAATGTTCACCTCGAAAAGGTTTTCGAGAAGTATGTACTGACGACGATGAGTGTCGAATGCCGTTTTCATGTAATCTTCTTCCCAGTCTATCTGAGACATATTGCAACTGCCCATCAACAGATTTTTATTCAAAACAAACTGATAGATGTCATTCATGCAAAGGACATAGTTTCAAATCAAAAGCAAAATGTAAAATGAATTCATCGCATACTTTTGTTTCGAAATGGCAAGTGATTAATTATCCAACAGAAGATCGCTGTGTTTATATTCTACAAGTTAATACCAGCAATGGAATTTACGATCAATCAGTGTGCCCTCGCCCTGATCAACTTGGCATGACTCTTGCGCAATTTTCTAATTCAAAGGCTCGATTTCCAATTGTTCATAGTGAAAGCGAGTTTTACTCGATTGCATCCGAAATACCTACTGGTACCTTTTACTTGGACAAAGCTCCAGGGGAACCGAATTTCTCTGACGGAACACCCATACATTTAGTCTTCCCTACTGTTTCATATTCAGCATGTCTAGCTATTGAATTAGTCCAAGATTCTGATGTACTGTATGCGACATGCGTTGATATTTCATGTTCTAATATTCAATGTCCTACATACATTTGCGATTATGGGGCTGTTTGATCGTTACACTAATGTATAAATAAAAAATATTTTCGATTTTATTTAACAGCATTTTTATGAAGCAAAAGTATAATGTTACGGTGTTATGGCTTTTCCCGATGATCGTATTGAGTTTTTGTATCTATTTTATGAATTTGTATAACATTTATTTAAACAAGATTTAAAAGTTTTTTATTAATGCATCTCTGTTCAAAAGTAATAAAATGTCAGCATTTTAATATAAGATATGAATGCAGTCTTTCATGAAATCCAAC